GTGGAGGGTTCGGCTGCCATTGGGGGGGGGTTGGGAGGGGAGGTGAGGAGGGAGAGGGTCGTGTGGAGGGTTCTTTCCCGGAGTGCTTGTCCTTCGCGCGGTGGTGCTCGTGTGGGGGTTGGAATGATGGGATGGGGGAATCGCGCACGCGGTAGATGTTGGGTTGTTCGTGTGAGGAGGCGGAGGAGCATTTGATCACTGGGGAGGAGGGGAGAGGTTGGGTTGGGTTGAGTAGAGTCGAACCGGGGGCGCAGAGGAAACGAAAGGAAACGAGGGTAGGTTGTTCGTGCGACCTGATATGGGTCGCCTCCTGCTGGAGCTTTCTTGCTCGAGTAAGTACTTCAAGTTCTAGTAGTGGAGCTCTGGGTATTGAATTTTAAATTACAAGCCTGCGTATTTATTACAGTGCCGGGTTCGTCACGAGCCAAGAATGCAGAAATGCCGTTGCTAACTTCGTCAGTCTATTCTATTCTCATTAAGTTACGCGTCTCTCTCTCGCCCAGTCTATTCTATTCTCATTAAGTTAACCGACCCTCTCTCGCCCACTGTATGCTATTATGGCAGCTGGCGGCCTCGACATTGTTCCACATGTACAGCGCATCCTCCTGATCTAGATAGTCCTAGGTCATCCTTGGGAGGCTATGGTCCTTGACAGTCGAAGTCTACACGGGGCCTTCTACTTGAGATTTTCTGCTCTTGCTCCAACTCGAGGGTTGGCAGGTCCATCTCCTGATGTTCGAGAAGACTGCAAATCGACGTTTCCATGATTGAACTCGGGCTCGTCGCCAGGATCATCGGGAGTTGCTGGTGTAGGGGCCGAAGCTTGGAGCCAAAATTTACGGGAGTTCTCAGATCCCCTTCCTCTCCCCCCTACTTCATTCCCCTATTTCTCTACCAATACTCACTCAAATTTAGGGAATAATGAGTTCTGAACAGGGAAATAGACGGCGCGTCTGCCGAAAGTCTTATTCGATAGATCCTCCTTCTCCTGCGGCCCCACGAACGCTAAAAACGATGCTTGATACGCCGTGCCGCGCGCGCCTCCTCGCCGATGCACGCCACACAGCTGGCAAACTACCTCGCACAGAGCTATTTAAGATACATAATATATCTGAAACAACTGGCTATCGAATCATCAAAGAAGGAACTGCGCGCCGCAGTCAGAAAGTCCACAATCGAGGTCGAAAGCAAGTACTTGCTCAATATGAGTGTGAAGCAATTGAGGCAGTAGAAGATGCCAATTTTGGCTTTGCTTCTTCTAGTCATTTCAAGGTGGCAAAGACTATTGGTATAGCTAATGGTTCTGATCGTGCTATTCAAAGAAATATAAAGGAATTTGGCGTAGGGACCTATATCCACCTTTCTGGCGTAAAATGACCCGATTTGCGATTGGTCGATGGCACGGGCGCTAATGAAACCTTAAATTACTGCTGACCAATCAGAAGTCTTGATTTTAACCTTAAATACAAACGAGCTAACCTATCTAGGAAATGACAACACCACAGCCAAAATCAGCATGTATCTATTCTATAATCGAAGATAATGACGGGCCTCATGGTACTAAGGGCAAGGGTCCTAACAAGGTTAAAGCACTCAAGGACCTTCTAGGGATCAAATGGGAGATGAACCCTCCTAATTCGCCTGATCTCAACCCTATTGAGACGATCTGGAGAATAATAAAGCAGCGCTTGAAGTCCAGGGGGGTCATCTTCGAAGAAGCTGTCCTGCGCAGGGCTATCCAGGAGGAGTGGGATAAAATAACTCTGGATGAGATTAATAGGGCTATCTCAACAATGCCAGATAGAGTAGCTGCCCTAAATGAGCGAAATGGGCGTCCTATCCCCTATTAAAGGGGTGTGTAGCATAGCAGGAATCTGAGAACTCCCGTAAATTTTGGCGCCAAGCTTCGGGCCAAGTTCGCTATCACCTTCTCTCAGATAGCCGGTACTCTGGGATCCGCGCATCATGCTGCATCGATTTGATCAGGTTCACGGTCAAACGAACACGACCCTAAGCGAAAGCCCATTGTCGGCCAGACCTTGACGAAATAGATACAAAGCTTGCTTCACTTGAAGAAATCCTTCGCCGGCAAAAGAGCGTCGCATCGGTCACGCTACAGGCAACCGATGCTCAACCAATGAAGAACTGATATCTTGTTCGTTTCTGGGAGTTCTTGAAATCTACTACCAAGGAAGCTGCCGCTAGCAAAGCGAATGCACCCATCAGATTCAATGAGGCTGTCGGCAGAGGATTCAATTTCCCAATTCTGTGCATACTAAGCTTACCATCCATAGGTCATAGAACAGTTGATTCAACAAGCCTTTGTTCATGTAGAGGGACTGAACAGCACGTGAAAGACGGGCACTATGATCTCCTGGGTTCTAACGGCGAGGTAATCTTATCACAAGTATGGAGGTCGGTTATCGAGCCAGATTACCATATCAAAATGCTCAAGTGGCCCATGCCAGAAGTGCAAGCATCCCCTGTATCTCAGCCGCAGACACCAACAATTGAAGACCTCCACAACGTCAAGCAGCTGGATCATCAATCCAAGAATTCAACTAAGCCGCCTCCTGGATAATCTTTGAGATCTGGGAGAAAAGAATCAATGTTTGCCCTCTGGCAAAAGAAACGTCTGTTTATCAAAGAACGCAAGTGAGCACTGCTCTTAAACGTTAAGGAGCAAAAAACGGAGATGCACGAGAGAGCGAGGAGGAGGGGATCGTATTCTTATGTCTTCAATAGGAAATAAGCCAGATAGACCGCTCATACCAAGATCACATCAAGCGTGCATTTCAGATTGAAATATGTAGATGCAAAGCTCTAGTATGATAGAGTACTATGTACGTCTAGTTCGCCTGAGAGCGGAGTAACCGGTGCACTGGAAGCTACCTCTATCCGGCGGTGCTGTTGTCCTTGAATACTAGGACAAATTTATGCAGTGCTCAAGATCTTCTACTACTACTTCTAGGGAGAGCTTCTTGCCAAGCTTTTTCGAGCAACGGTTTTCTCAGCCCACGTCAAGGATAAATGGAAAGAGAAACGTGTTTAGAGAGGCAACATTTGGTGGCAACGCTGAGAATGGCATAGAGATCGGACCGGGTGTTATTACTCATGAGGAGCCACCACAACGCTTCGTCAAATTCCCGCATTTTGCCATCATGTTTTTTGAAGCATATTCTGGTTTCCACGCGTTTGCCCCAGATCTAGTGATATGAGCAGGTTTTGAGTGATTCTGCTCTTTCCTTTTTGCCACCGCTGTGCACTCGACAGGCGCAGGACAAAACGATCTTTACTTGATCATCATCACGCTACCGATACTGTTGTCCGCTGCTATCTTCCGAGAGCATACAGGGCGGCAGTACCTCGACGTTACAGCACGACCTTGGTCTTTGGCTCTCCCTGGTCATAGTACTGCATTTCAATAGAGATACACTTGGTGGGCCAGGCAGTAAAAATGCGCTTTCGGGTTAGAGGTCCTACTGGGCAGTCTATCATCACACTGAACGATGATGCTACCGTGGGAGACCTTAGCAGAGCAATCACCAAGGAGACTTCGCTATCTGCGTTCGAGATCAAGATAGGCTACCCGCCAAAGTTGTTGGATCTAGACAACCTCAGCATCGCAAAACCTCTGTCAGACCAGGGTGTAAAGCTGAATGGCGAGCAATTATTGGTCACATCCAGAGAGACAACGCAAACAAACTCTTCAAATCATGATCCTCGGCAAGTAGACTCGGCTAGCACAGATAGACAGAGCAAATCACACCCACAGGCGGGTTCCACCAAGCAAATAGGTGCAATGAAGAACGCAGCGGGCTCATCCTCATCAAATTTCTCATTTGGCGATCTCGGTTCAGCTTCATCAGCAGTCAAAGACACAAAATCTTCTACATCAACCGCTTCGAAGATGGCCCCTGCAGCGAATTTATCTTTGAGCCGAAAAAGCAATGCTAACACACTGAACGACCCACCTGAGATTGTCCTGCCAGATCAAGGAGGTACCTTGGTATTGCGGATCATGCCAGATGACAACTCTTGCTTGTTTCGCGCGATTGCCAGTGCGATAATGCCTGGCCTCGACACGATGAACGAACTTCGCTCTGTGGTAGCACAGACCATTCAAGCAAATTCTGCTGTCTATTCGAAAGCGGTCCTTGACAATAAAGATCCCGATGACTACTGCCGATGGATTCAAACGGAAGATGCCTGGGGAGGCCAAATCGAGCTCAACATCATTAGCAACCACTTTGATATCGAGATTTGCTCCATCGACGTGCAAACCCTACGCATCGATAGGTATAACGAAGGTCGGCCCAAGCGCTGCATAGTTGTCTACTCCGGAATACACTATGACACTATTGCTTTGAGCCCTTTCGATGCCCCTCCAGAATTCGATCAGAAGACGTTCGACACCACTAACGAAGTCATACTGGGTTCTGCTGTCGAGCTGTGCCAAATGCTGAAAGGCAAGGGATATTATACGGATACTGCGGCATTTAAGATCCGATGTAAGCAATGTGGAGCGATCTGTGTGGGGGAGATGGGAGCAACAGAGCATGCCTCGAAGACGGGACATTACAGCTTTGATGAAGGGCCATAGAAATTTGCATGATCATGTGTAGGCGTTGATAGACTGAGGTATCCATAGCAACGGAGGATGTACGGATAAGCGAACCCCTACCTGATTAGTATGGTTTTCAGGCTGTGTAACAATTCTCCTGATCAACTTAGCAGGAGAAGGCCCTCTGAAAACTATGCCTAACTTACCATCAATGTGTGCTTAGTTTTAGCCTAACTGTGATATGATCTAGTTTAACTATATAGAATTATGTTGTTAGACATCTGAAATCCAATAAAATTATGTTATTTCAGACATCATTTTAAGAAAGTGACAGTCAAATTATAGCTAAACCATGGTCATTCGAGCCTCCTAATGATCCTTAAAATAATACGTAGGAAAATGACTGCAATACCCCGTCATTTTCAGAGCCCATCTCCCGTAAGAACTGGGGCACGAGGCTAAGACGGCTGGCCAGGAGTTTATCTTGGCAGGCGTCATCTGCTGCGTCCCTCGAGGCAGTCTCGAGGGGTGTCGCAGCCTTCTGTAGACCGCCCCCTAACACATCATGATTTGAGCGTGCTAGATAGCTCGGTGTTGTCCGACCCCTTTTACTTTTGATATCGGGAGCTGTCTCACTCTCCGTCTTCTCCTGCCGAGTTATTCAGTCATGGCCTCAGCGTCATCAGGTTCCACCGACTTTCGAGCATCGCCTGTCCCTTCGACAGCAAGCTCAACAGTGTCTTTGAATTCGGCCTCGACTCCACCTACAACCCCTGCTTCTGATAAGCCTGCGGACGAAGGCTCGAAACTGCGAATGTTTCTGAGCATTCTGCGAAAGTAAGAGATGGTTGAATTCCTGCATCGCAGCCTCGATTGAGAGCAGTCCTGACGCGGTCCTGACGCGGTTCTGCCGCCGCAACATCCATCCTTGGGAGACATATCAAAAAAGCGATCATCCTCACATCACAATAGGCTGACAGTTGCGGCTTCACAGGTTTATTGGGGTTAGCGACATCGCTGCTGTTCGTTTCTCGCTGCCTGCCCAGCTGCTAGAGCCTACACCGAACCTTGGTGCGCGAGACTGATTATTGGTCATTAAGCTGGGCTGATATCGATATCAGAATACTGGCACTACCTTGATCGACCAGAAACTTTCGCAAGGTAAGTCACGGTGAGATGTTTACCCTACACGCAGACTGACCACGAGCAGCATTGGAAAATCCGACGATGAGGTCGGGCGCATGTTAGAAGTTCTACGTTTCTGGTTCACCAAAGATCTTGTATGCCTTATACACCCTTCTGGTATGTGTGTACTGAAGTGGTCAGAAATATGTCAAAGGCAAACCATGTAAGCCTTACAACTCGGCGCTAGGAGAATTCTTCAGGGTAAGCACCTCTATCCGTATCTATGTCGCTAGATATGCTGATGATTGCCAGTGTCACTGGGACATTATCGATGATGCTCCTCCCCTAGCGACATCTCCTACTACTAGCCAATCGGCCCCCAACAAACCAGAAGATTCTGTCTCTCAAACTCCAGCACGCTCCAGCCCAGTCCGGGTGTCGTATCTTACCGAACAGACATCACATCATCCTCCTGTTTCCGCCTTTTTCGTCGATTGCCCGGCTCGTGGCATCAGCGCTCGTGGTTATGATCAGCTGTCAGCCAAATTTACTGGTACCGCAATTCGAGTAACTCCTGGGGCCCACAACTTAGGCATCTTCATCACTTTAGCCCAGCGTGGCAACGAAGAATATCAGCTCACGCATCCAGCTGCACAGCTTGGTGGCCTTCTACGAGGCGCCCTTGCCGTATCAGTCTCGGACGTCTGTTTCGTGACTTGTCCGAAAACACGGATCAAGGTCATTCTACATTATCTTGAGGAGGGCTGGCTGGGCAAGTCACAGAACCGAGTGCAAGGAGTGATGTTCCGATATGATCCCGACAATGACAAGTACACCCGCATAAAAGACGTACCACAGAAGGACATCCTGGCGCATATTGATGGGTGTTGGCAAGAGCGGGTATATTACAGCATTCCATCCACACCAGCTGTGAAAAATGCAAAGGACACCGATGCATCAAATATCAAGCATTTACTGGTGGATCTTACCCCACTTCTTCCGGTACCAAAGACAGTACCACCAGAGGAGGACCAATTAGCTAATGAATCACGCCGATTCTGGAAAGATGTTACGGATGCTATACTTAATAAGCAATATGGGGAAGCGACGCGGTTGAAGCAAGCCCTAGAGCAACAGCAGAGAGACAAGGCCGAAGAGCGAAAAGCAAGAAATGAGGAATGGAAGCCAAGGTATTTTGCCGGTGCAGTTGTTCCCAAGGGCCGGCCAGATCTGAGCAAAGAGGGTCAAGCTGCACTAAAGGGTTTACAAGAAGGAAACTATAGATTAGAGGATACAGGATACACAGGAGTTTAGAGGACATTGCAATGGTCGCTTGGGGGCTGATTCTCGATGGCTGGGTAGATATTGCTGCCAGTGCGGTCATTCCGGCCAAAGCATTTGCACATCTGTACATATGCTAAATCTTGTTGCAACAATTCCAAGATGATGAAGCAGAAGGACGAGTTCAACATGGTTTCCAGCTGCCAAGACCCAATGCGGACCTTGCCGAATGTGGATATCGGTTCAGGATTCATGCATACTACACGTGCTCTTCATGGTTGGTTATTATGATTTACTCATGCCGTATGATTCTGTTCCCCCTTGTGCAGGGAATATAAAGATATGTATGCAGTACGGTGGGACCTCTCATGCCCAACTACTCTCTGTCATAGCATTGCCTTGGTTTGGTTGCGTGCATTGCAGACACATCTAAGTAGACATGGATAGACATTATTCTGTGAACAAAGACCACGGTAGCACATCTCCCTCCATTGACAGGATGATGCCACCCCAAACGAATGAAAGATCTCGTTCACTACCAAGGAAACCAATCTTCTTGGCGTGGGTACCCTCCTCAGGCATATCTGCTCCACTTGCAGCGATGCGAACTTACTTCCCCAACCACCACTCTAACAGACTTCCAGATTCCTGCTCTTCTGCTCTGTTGTCTCGTATAAGTCTCTCTTCGTCGTCGGCGGTGTCATGGCATCCAACAAGAAGGAGCCAATGCAGTACAGATACACCACTGTCACAGGTTACTTTCTGCAGGACGAGAATTCGACAAACCCGGACACGTTCGACTTTGCGACTCAAAACTTTGGGCTGATTAACAGGGAATATGACACTGATGCCTCTGTTGATAGCCGGAGTGTAAGCCAATGGCAGCGTTTTGGTGATAAGCTGCAAGCACTCAACAAGGAGGCATCCAAGGGTACCAGATATATCCTTGTCTATATGGCCCGACACGGTGAAGGCTGGCACAACAGAGCCGAAAGGAAGTACGGCACGAAGGCTTGGGATTGCTACTGGTCAACCTTGGAAGGTGATGGTGATATTTTCTGGGCCGATGCCCATATCACGGACCAGGGTGCTTCTCAGGCTCTCGCTGTGCATGCCCTCTGGAAGAGCAAACTTGCAGAGCAGTCCATATTGGCACCGGAGAGATTCTTTGTATCGCCACTGGACCGTTGTCTACGTACAGCCCAGTTGACATGGTCTGGCATTGATCTTCCATCTGGACGTCCATTCAACCACGAAGTCAAAGAGCTACTTCGAGAGGCAATCGGCATTCACACATGTGACCGTCGGAGTAACAAGACATATATTCAGTCCACGTATCCCTTCAAAGTCGAGCCGGGTTTTGCAGAACAAGATCCGCTATGGGTCCCAGATCTCCGGGAGAGCAATCCGTATTTAGATGCGCGGCTTAAGCAGTTGCTGGATGACATCCTCAGCCACAACAGTGACACTGTCTTCTCCCTGACATCTCATGGCGGTGCGGTGGGTGCCATGTTACGTGTTGTTGGACACAGAGAATTTCCTCTCAAAACCGGCGCGATCATGCCTGTGCTTGTCAAAGCAGAATTGCTCCATGGCAGGGAACCTGAATCACCAAAAGAGCCATGGAAGCCCAAGCCGGACTGTTAGAAGAGCTTTCAGAAGGCCTGGAAAGGATTCTGCTTTGATCTCAGGGTGCCGCTGCGTATAGATTTATACCTGTGTGAAGATATCTGTTGTTGAAAGCAGGGTCAGGAGCAAAGACAAGGTTGCCAAAGCGGTGTATTAATGAATATGGAGACAGCATATCCAAGCATTTTAGAAAGCTGGTGAGGGCTGCCGGTGTTTACTCAACCCTATACCCGACGGTATTTCGATTTGGTTCTCTACTCCAGGTGTTTGCACGCATCCTACACTCCATTCACACTCTTCTGCACATCAACTCCACGAAACCTCTATCTCAAAATTTGACTGCCACTCAACCGCACATTGATAGTGCAGAATCTCTAAGGACTACAACCTCAGGCAGAATCCATTCCAGATGGCTTCTATGAAGAAGTTTCCCGTTACGGTAGTCTCTTTACTCTTCACCTTGTTCTCACTCACCATACTACCACCGAAACTTTTGCTCGCATCTGCGGCGCTCACGACACCCAAAGCACCATGTGCAGAGATCGGCCACCTTCTTTTGCAGAATAACGTGACCAACGTCTCCGCTCAGCTTGCGTACAACTGTTTGAGCTCCGTTCCCCTTCACGTTGCTGAGGCAAAGGAGTTGCACCGCTCACTTCGTCCTTACTTGAAATGGCAAACCACCTTTCCATATGTGAAAGATCCACCTGCGGGATACCAAATGCCTGCTTTTGACTTCTGGCCGGCGTTCAACAACATCGGGGTGAAGCTTTCGAATGTGGCATATTCAAGCGAATGGGAATTTGGCATGGACATGTTACGAACCTTCAACAATGTACATGATAGCCACACACACTACATTATGGATGTGGTTGGAAAGGCGTTCAGCTTCAGACGAGAAGTAACCTTAGTCTCGATCTCAAAAGATGGCTATTCATTGCCTCTGGTTTACATTTATGGTACGATGTTTCATTTATGTAACATCACAGTGGCTAATCTTAACACAGATGACATCCAGCAGTGGCTGAATGGCGACATCCTCTTCCCTTCCGCTGTTATGACCATCAACGGACAAGCAGTCGATATAGTCCTCGACAGTTGGATGCGAATTGGTCCACATCAAGACCCTGATGCACTGTACAATACTCTCTTTTGGTCAGCACCACAAAATACACTCCGATCTAATAACGGACTCTTCAGTGGCTCTGGACTAGGCAATTTCTTCTATCCTGGGCCCCAGACCGACATTGTGTTCGCCAACGGGACCAGAAAAATATATGAAAATGTTGCAAATGTCAATGTCGACTTCGATGGAGTTAAGGATGGTGAATCATTCTATCAAAAATTCTGTAATGAGAGAGATCAGGACAGTTCTGCGAACCCTTCAAGCACGGCTTCTGAACCTTCTGTCATCAATATTGCCACATCAGGCTACCCGCTCCCAATTCTCCGCCATCCACAGAATTATGTTGCAGGCTACTACCTGAACTCTTCTTCTTACAACAAAGTGGCCATCCTCAGCATTCCCAGTTTTGTCGCTGGCGATGACGCAAAGGAGCAATCAGACTTCGAATGCATCGCAAGGGATTTTATCTACCAAGCCAAAGCTGCTGGAATGACTAAACTCATCATTGATCTTCGTGGTAATCCTGGTGGCACAATTCTACACGCGTTTGGCCTTTTTATGCAGCTTTTTCCGCATCTAGAACCCTGGGGCGCCTCCCGCTTCCGTGCCTTTGACACCCTAAACGCAATAGGCAAGCAAGTCACTTCCCTGGCTGAAGCTTTCTACAACGGCACCAATACCACAGAGATGTACTCCAACGCCACAGGCAGGGATCCTTTTAACCACCACCTGCTGGTCAACTCCCAGTCTCACAATTTCACCGACTGGTCTGACCTCTATGGCCCTGTCTCTGTCCCAAGCCGTGACAACTACACCCGCCTGATGCGATACAACCTGTCATCTGCTCCCCTTCTTGACGGAGCAGGCATTGACCCAATAGGCAACCGTCCAGCCACGGGGCAACCATTCAAGTCCAAAGATATCATCATGCTCCACGACGGCGATTGCACATCAACCTGCGCCACCTTCTCCGACCTCCTCCAAGAACAAGCAGGCGTCAAGTCCGTTGTTATGGGCGGCAGACCTCAATACACGCCAATGCAAGCTGTCGGCGGCACCCGTGGCATGGAAGTCTACGACCTGGACTGGATCTTCACTCTCAT